CAAAGACAAAGTAGGAGGTGAAGTAAAATGATATAAACCATTGGCATGATATCCTTTGTGAAGAATAGCCTTAAGCTTTGTCCTGAATGGCAAAGGAAGAGTGATCAAAAATGATAGAGCAATTGTTGTCTTTTGCTAATTGTTGTACTGAAAGAAGATTAGATGAAATAGTAGGAACATGAAGAACTTTGTTAAGTTTAAAAGAATGATGTGGAGTTGGCAAAATACCTTTCCCAGTGTTGTGAATGGGGAGAGAGTCACCATTGCCAATAGTAACTTGGTCAAAACCAAAGTAAGGCTGATAGGAGTTTAAACAATGAAGATCATTTGTCACATGTTCAGAGGCAGCAGAATCCAGAAACCAAGGAGTGAAGGGCTGAGATGTAGTATCATTAGTCATAGAGGCAACATAAGCTTTGGAATGAGTTTGGGAGTGAGATTGAGGAGAAAAAGATAACTGTAACTGAAAATCAAGATCCAGTCGATGCCACAAATCCAAGGCAGAGTGGTTAGGTTTACCACAGATTTGACAAATAGAACCAAAATTTGATCTACCAAAATCTGATCTATCAGATCTGCCACGATTTGAAGATCTGCCTCTGAAGTTTGAAGATCTACCTGGACCAGATCGGTACGACCCTCGGTAGGAACCTCTTGAGTCATGGCGAGAAGAACCGTGATTATTGTGATAAGAAGTGAAACCTTTGGATGATGAAGAATCCTTCATTGTTGTATAGGCAACAGTAAGAGCAGAGGACTGCTTTATTTTTCCTTCAATGTGAATTTCTTTTGAACATAGTAAGGATGAAAGCTCATCCATGGATATGCTCTCTGATCTTGCTCGAATTGCAGTTTTGAATGAATCATATTCCGCAGGTAAGCCATTCAAAGTAATAAGAACAATGTCTTCATCTTCAAGAAATGAGGAAGCAATGCTAAGTTGATCAACAAGAGTTTTAATGCTTCTGAGATATACCTCCATTGAGTCAGAATTTTTCGAGACGGAGTTTAATTTGTTCTTAAGCTGATGGATATGCGATCTTGATAGAGTTGTAAATCATTTGCCTAATGCAAACCAAATCTCTGAACTAGTTTGAAAATGAAGAATAGTAGTGAAGATGATAGGTGAGAGCGTGGCTGTAATGCAGCTTATTAAATGTGCATCAATCATCTTCCATTGAAGTGCTTCATGATTGCACATTTCTACACTAGATGAACTGCAGATACAGTCCACTAGACTTGGATACGAGCCATCAACAAACTTCAATAGATCGGTAGCGCGAAGAATGTTCTTCATTTGATTGCTCCAGATAATGAAATTTGTATTATCTAGTTTCACAGTCACAAGAGAACTCAGATTAGAGACTAGCATGTTGAGATTTGAAGAGATTGTAGTTGAAAACGATGTTGAAGATGATGGAATCGTCATTGGAGATGACGCCATTAGAGAGATGCTCGTTGGAGCTTTACAGCTCTGATACCATGAAGAATTGTTGAGTTTGAATATATTTTCATGATGTCCTCTACTCACTTACAATGATATATATATACATATCAGATACAATGCTAACAATCCTAACTAACTAACCATCTCTAACTAACTCTGTTATAACTAACCACTTCTAACTAACTCTGTTACAGCATATGATCATATGTGACATAGTATACTATATACTAAACTATGACTCCATTGTGATCTGCTGGATTATGAGCTGCTACAGATGGACTGTGATTATGAGCTGTTGGATTATGGGCTGATTCAGATGTTGGATTATGAGTTGCTGCAGATGGTTCGCTATCATTGACAACATAGTAAAAAGTTAATTTTTTAGTTTTTCAATTCTTTTAAGTTATATTATTTTTTTATTTTTTTAATATAAAAAGTTAAAAAGTTAATTTTTTTATTAATTTTTCAAAATACCACACAATAATCACTCTATTTGATTTTAATCTTCATAATTTATTTTTTTTAAAATTTTATTTTTTACTTTCACTGAATTTTTAAAAATATTTTAAGTAAATTTTTTAATTTTTAGGCACACCTAATATAAACACACTTAAAAAGTAAAATATTTGTGAAAAAATCTTTAAAAAATTCACTAAATACTAAAAATACGAAAAAAAGGAAAAAAAATTTAATACATTTTTCATGTTTTTATGTATTTATTAATTTATATATTTTTTACAAATATTTTACTATTTAGATACATCTAAGTAAGGTGTATCTAAAAAAATAAAAATATTGCTTAAAATTTTAAAAATATTAACTAAAAACCCAAAAAAAAAAAACACACACACAAAAAAATTCAATTTCCAAAAAATTGAATTAAAAAAACTAAAACTAAACACACTAAATATAATCCTACTAGTAAAACGGTTTCCATTTCCTCATATTAGTACATAGTTGTCATACAACTTGCTTTCATTTCATGAAATACAAAATCAGCTTGACTTTCATTACATCCAAAAAAATCAGGATTCTAGGGCTATTTTGAAAAAATAGTTATAATTAATTTTTTAGTTAAAAATTAATAAAAAATTAATTATAATTAATTTTTTTTAAAAAAAAATAAATTATAATTTAAAAAGTGAATTATAATTTACTTTCCAAAAGATCCCTAATGCAACCAGCCATATTATTAGAGCAAATTTTAATTGGGGGAGGGACACTAGCTGTGTGACAGTGTGTCATGTCTAACCTGGCTAGGGACATACTACTCTGTCATAATAATGTGCCAGCTAAACATCAAGGTATCAAACAAACGTAACATAGTCACATAGTCACTACATCATCATAAAGTTTGTTTTGGTTCTCTCTTTCCATGAGGAAGATGAAGGTGATTTCATCTTTGATTAGTTTTTTTTTTAAGGGTAAATTATTAATAAATTTTAATAGTTAGATTTTATTCTCATCAAGTCTTAGTGAAAATAAGTCTTGATAAAACTATAACTAAAATAATTTTTTGTGACAATTTTTTATATATCTCGCTAAAAATTGACAATTAGTAACTTTTTGTAATGATTTTTATAAATTGTAGTTAAAACTTGCAATTAGTGACTTTTTTTATGATAATTTTTTTTCCTATAGGACCTATTAGATAATAAGTTCACTTATTAAGACCTACACGTAAGCATCTCTTTTTTTTAATCATGAAAAAAAAAAATTATTGGTGAAGGAAAGAAATATAGTATAATGTGTATGTCAAAAATAGGGTTACATCCCGGCATTTACGGTTAATTTCTTAATTTTAGAACAAACTTCATTGCATGGTGAGAGTGTCAAACTTACTTGCATAAGGTACCAAATTCTGTATCCAAATCTCTCTCTCTCTCTCTCTCTCTCTCTCTCATTGCATTGTTCATGTCTCGAGATTTATGTGCCTTTAGATTGTCACATAATCTAATGGTTAGGAGAGTATTGAAATAGGGAGACAGCAGATCTTTGTCCCTAACATACCGTTGTTTGGGTTCAAGCATGAAGATCCAAGACATGATTTTCCTTCCAAAGAAACTCAGTTGCAAGAGTAAAGGCCAAAGGAGTACAAATTTCTCTGCAAAGATTGGCAGCTCCATTTCCATATAAACTCAATTTGAGAAGAACTATTGATGGAAGTCGCAACAAAATAGACTATGAGAAATGCCAACTACTCGGTCAGAACAAAAAAGCAAGCTGATACCCTAATTTCAAGTGTTCAAATGAAAAAGAGAGCATAGCCTCATGATGTTGATCTTAAGCGAGACACACCCTGGATAAAATTCCTGATATGTGCAACGACTACTGGCTAGTCTCACATATCAGGCAAAATAGGGACTCCAACTTAAAACCTCCTAATTATTTGTCTAGGGACTTGCCATTCAAGCTAGCCCTCACGATTATGAGAATGAACCATTTAATTAACGGTTACAGATCTAAAAGGTGGGAGGACATGTGTGGTATGGTCATAACACCCACCACCACACTCTAGCAGCCACATTATAAGAAAGAAGAGAATGATTTCAGGTGGGTCTCAGTGATTGTATACGAGTTTCGGGAAAGGGGCAGCAACTAAGGCTCAGCCCCACCTAAAAGGCTGAAACTGATCATGTATGTGTGCTTTTCCATCTTAAAAAAAATAAAAATAAAAAATTATGTATCAAAAGGTATTTTGAAAAGTACCCTGAAAATGTATATATGGATACTTACTGTGATATGGATTCACATTTAAAATTAATCTGATACAAGTATATTTCATTTTCAAACTACTTTTTTGATGCAATGGTTGGAATGCAACCTTAATCACAGATGCAGTAATGGATGCAGTCATGTAGGTTAAGGAATCAAAATGAGCATTTGTTTCATAAGAACCAAGCCAGTGCAATGCATCCCAGAAGACATGTAATCACTGGGTTGTCAGTTCAGTAATAAGAGTCTTTTGTACCTTAAAAAGAAATCACAAGTTCAACAACTTCCTTCTTCAATATACCCCCAACAGTTACCATGTGGAATTACCTACATATTTCTCCAAAACAATTACATAATAGAAAATTTTACAGACTTGATATGCCGACTGCTGATTAGTTAGGAGATAAAAATTAACCCAATTAGTGTGATACAGATTTTTATTGGTCAAAAAATATAATACCATGGTATACTCACTTATGAAAGTATTAAATAATGTTTAAAGAAGAAGTAACTTTTGTAATTATGAGTTTTTTAAACCTAATTAATCAAAACACCCAGAATTCGTCTTAATCTAAAAAAAAAAAAATTAAAAAAAAAAAGAAAAAAAGAAAAAAAAAGAAAAAGAAAGAGGCAAGTGTTATTGAGGAGGAGCTCAACAAAGCATTAAGCTTGCATGCATAATATTAGTAGTGTCTTAATTCTTAAACCCAAAGCATGTATATGTATATGTGTATGTATGACTAGTAGACCTTGAAAAGATTAACAAAGCAAAGCAATAGCAAGATAGTAGCAGGATATTGCTTGATGTTTAATAGTCTCACCACAAGCACAGAGAAGATGAGCAAGTGCTAGCTTAGCCAATATCATTATTTATATATATACTTCTCTGAAACCCTAAAATTCCTCATAAGTTCCATATCTCAAACCCTACAATTCCTCATTACTACTACTACTACTCACACCAAAATGGAATATTATAAAACTCAAAACTCAAAGCAGTCAGACTGGAGAGCCTCATGTTCTAACTTGCAAACCCATATAATATATATATAGATTATAGAGAGAAAGAAAGAAGAAAATGCAAAATCATCAATCCATACACTTTGTAATTGATCTAGGAGTGGTGGTGACTAGTTGTAGTATCATTTCCATGATCATCTCCTCCTCCTCCTCCTCTTCCTCCTCCTCCATGATGTGGGTTCGACCCACTTGCCTGCGACTCAGAACCGCCCGTCTCTGCCAGCGGCCTAAACGCATTGAGTGCCGCCAGCATACCCAGATGCCCATCCGCCGCCACCGCACCACCACTACCGCCACCGCCAATCCCGGGACCCAAATGTTGGCCTGGCAAGAGAGCCATTGGGGTAGGAAAATTCATAAAATGTAACCCACTAGCCATAGACCCTCTATACAAATTAGCATTACCAATACCAACAGAAGAACTAGGCAATGTCCATATAGAATCACCACCACCACCACCCATGACTTGGTTACTTGGATTGGTCATCATCCACAACGCCCCTGCCGGAATCTGCCCGTGGCTCGCCGGAATCGACGAAGAATTCGACTGCAACATGTAGTTCCCCATATGATTTTGCAACGACAGATCTTGCTCTGGAGGCCTCCTCTTCCTCCCTATACTCGATTCACCCGATACATCTAGACATGTCGTAGTAAAATTCAACAATGTTGACGAATTCTCCGACGATAACCCAGCTCCGGGGAAGAAAATCCTGCTTTGGTGCTGAGACTCATCAACACTCCTTTGTTGTTGTTGTTGTTGTTCCCAATCGCTCCGTTGCGGAGGCGGTTTTAAGGAAGAGAGGCTTTGATTGAAATAACTAGTTCTGAAATGAGAAGGTGCAGACATGGTAGAGCCGGAGCTCCGGAGAGAGATATTAAGTGATGTGAAATTAGCGGGGATGGTACCGGTTCCGGTGGCGGCGATGACCGCTGGCTCAGCCTGTTGGAGCAGCCACTCGATGGTTTCGCCGTCGGATTTGTGGCCCAGCTCTCTGGTAAGCTGGAAGACCCGGGCGGCGCAAGTTGCTGGCATGCGGATGCGGCGGCCGCGTCCGTCGACTTTGGTGTGGCGATCCTTGGTGGAGGTCCTCTTGGGTGGAGGCTTTTTGGGTGCTTGGTCAGCCACAGCTAGTTGTTGTTGGTGTTGGTGTTGGTGTTGGTGTTGTTGGGTTGAATTATGAGACCAGTTTTGTGGGTTTGTGGTGGTGGTGGCGGCGCCAGAAATGGCTAGGGAAGCGTAGGTGGAGGAGCTGGAACATGGTGTTTGGTTTTCGCCTTCGTCTTCGTCTTCTTTTTTTTCAAGCAATTGTAATGGGAAATTTGAACGACGCATACAATTTTCTCCTTCCATGATCACATATGCTACAAGTACACCATCTAGATGACCCCCTCCCTCCTCAATTTGATCACTTGTGGGTCTAACTCTCTCTCTCTCTCTCTCTCTTTCAAATTTCTTTCAAATGGGAGATGGCAGCTGTGTTGTTTTCTCTCTCTCTAGAGAGAGAGAGAGGATAAGGGAGCTAGGGGTTGCAAGCTTTAAGCAACAAACACAATGAGTGGGGAACTATATGGGGTGGGCTATGAAATGAAAAGCATTGAAATGTTCTTTAAGGAAAATAAATTTCTTTCTGGGGATATAACCGTAATTTCAAACAAAAAAAAAATTTAATTTAATTTTAAATAGTTAGCTTTTATTTATTTATTCATTTATTTTGTGAGTTTTAATATTTGCTTTAATGGTGGGTTGGACAGTTGCTTGAATCAGACTCCACGTGCGTTGCTCTTTTATCATTCAAAATCCGCGGAGAGACAGTGGTGGCCTAAGGTGGGGAAGGAGATGTATGTGGGGTCCTAACTCCCAAGTCAAAAAAACTGAAAGAAGGGTAAAAAGAAAAGAAGATAATCAAGTGGCTCCCCATCTCATTCTTGCAATCATTGCCCTCTTTGCCTTTCTTTCTTCTCTCATACTAACACCATCTTTGGGATTCTACTCAAGTATTTCTTTCATTAATTTCCCTCCAATTTTCTTTTCTTTTCATTTCATTATATTATATTAAATTGATAAATTTCATCAAACTAAATTATTGACATATAGTATTTTAAAAATAATAATTTGACCATTTTATACCATCTTCACCAAAAAAATTTATACTACCATTAATGAAAAATTGAGTTTATCATATAAGACTAGACTCTATCAAAATGGATGTTTGAGAAGTTACTATTTCAGTAGGTTATTTTAGTTTTTGACCATTTTAGTATGTTAAAATTATTGTGTTCAAGAAAATTATTGAATTTTTTTTTATAATTAGGGGTGTTTTGGGAAGTTGGTAAAAAGCTAACTTTTGGCTTTTTACCAAGCTTTTTAACTTTTTGAAAAGTGATTTGAGAAGTTGGTAAAAAGTTGACTTTTTGCTTTTTAATTTAATATTTATTTATGGTGTCAAATCAAATTAAAATGACCAAAATACTCTTATCCAACATAAGAAATTTATTATTTTTTTTTTTTCATAGGCCTTAATTTGTAATTTTACACTTGCGTTTTTAGCACTTGGCAAACCAATTTTCTGGTGTTTTTGGCACTTGCGTTTTTGGACAATGTCCAAAAACGTGGCTTTTTGTTATGTTTCCAAAATGGCACTGAGATGTAATATTTGTGAAAAAAAAAGTAAATGATTATGGATTTAATGTGACATTTTATTTTATTAACTATTTTAACTTATTTTGTCTTTTTGTAAATTTTAGTCTAAAAAATGCTAAAAACTTTCTTGCCAAACACCCCAAAAGTGTGGAAGTCTTAGCGACATTACACCGATATCCCTCTAATAGTCCTTTGTATTGTCTTCATCCAATTCGTTCAAAAACTTGAATTAACAGTAACATATACTATTTATATTGTTGGTACCATTCTTTTACCCAATAATGCTATGATAAGTTGGTCAATTCTTTTTTTTATTTTTTTTGTCATATTTTTTTACCATTTTATGTATTAATACCAAGATCCAAGTCACTTTAATCCCAAATTTTGGACGGTCTCATGTCCAGCTCTCTTTGTTCAAGGCAAATATAACTTCTTATTTAAAATTTTACATAAAAAAACTCCTTGTCTCAAGATTGAAAGAGAAAAAAAACTTCAATATTGTTAAAAGTCCCCAATCATAAATTTTTTTCAATTATCTAAAACTTCTAATATATATATGTATATATTTAAGGCCCCAATTGTATAGATTAAAAATATTCTTTCAATTACTTAAAAGAAAAAACTTCATTGGCTAAAAGACCCTAAACCGTCAAATTTTTCTTTTAGCAATTAAAAATAAATTATATATATATAAAATAAAAACTATTATTCGATTTTTCTTTAAGTCTCATTAAAAATAGAACTGACTGTATATTAAAAATAAATATGAGTAATGAGACTTTCAATTTTAATGTTACATTGACAGATACATAAAGTGATAAGTAAAATAAATTTATTTTTACAATTTCAATATAATATTGAAAGACACATAGGATATAAGTAACTTGAAAAAATTGAAAATCCTATAGAATTATATTATTGTTTTTCATCATGATAGGGTCAAAAAGCACATCAACTAAGAAAAGTTTGAATCCACTATAATACATGTACACGTATGTGAGAGAGAGCCCCAGGCAGATGTAGTAAACTAAAAGAAACGAAAACACAAACAATGATTTCCAATCCAAATTTCGAAAACGTTTGAACAACAACCAACATTCCTAATTGGCACTTAGATTTAGATTAGAGCCCTCCAAAAAAATGATTATGATGATTGATTACAATTACAATCCACATGATTGGGTGTTATTCTTCGTGTCAATTTAGTTGTGATTTGGAATTTCGCCTTAATGCGTTTTGTTTTTATCCTCCCTTTATTGATATTTTTCATGTGTAATATATGTTTTTTTCATCAATAATTTTTTTTTATTGATAAAAAATAAAATTTAAATAAATAAATAAATAAAATTATAATTCGCATGATACTACTGTTTCACACTTTAGAGATTTATGTTTGATTTGTTAGTACTATAAACTTGGTTTGGATGACACTTAGTCATGTCATTCTCTCTCTTCTCTCTTGAACATTAGCATGAATGAATAATGTGTACTTTTCACCAGCCATGAATGGGATGACCCAACATTTCTCTTTCTTTCATTTTCTAAAACTTGAAATCTATGATATGATGGGGGAGCCAATAATACTCTACTGTGAGACTCTAGTATATATATACATATATGTCTCCAATATTGCACTATGTCAACACAACACAGGCAGCGATATAATCATGTTCAGCTTAGCAACTAATTATGTGACTTTCACAATAATTGTGAATGAATGAATACAACATGTGAATTTCATTGGGTGATCAATTTTGTAAATTAATTTCACATTTTGTTAATTTCTTCTAAGAAGTTGGATTGTGCATGCACATGATTAATCAATCCCTGTGGCAGTCATAATGGGGCTATTTCATGCATTTTCATATGGAATATTTATTAAAAAAATTAAAATTAAAAATTTTAAAAGGATATCAAAATTAAATATAAGGGCATAAGTGTCCAAGAAAATAGTGTAAATCAAGAAAATGGACTTTATGGAATAAAACTATACATACATGGGACTAAATGGGTTAAAAAATTTCTTCATGAAGTTCTTGGGTTAAAACACTTCTAAATTGGACTTATCAATAAAAACCCCAAAATTAATTGTGTAGAAATTAGGATAGGAATGTTTTTAATTTCTATTTTTACAAAACAAACAATCAAAAAATAAAAATTTAAAACATTAATGTAGCATTATTTAGCCAAATATATAAATGTCTCAAATTGAATACTCTCCATTCACTAAAAAAAAAGAGCCATCAATTATGAGACATGATCAGTTCGTTCACTTTTTAACTTTTGGGGTAGAATTGTTCACAAAAATGGTTTTTAGCTTGATAGCATCAAAGCATTTATAAATGTGGGAGTCGAAAAGAGGAATATCTAAAACGGCAAACAGAGTATATCTAAGTCCATCTCATATGGGTCGAATGAAGCCAAAGTTCACCAGACTTTGGGTCATTGCCGAATAAACACAGAAGCAAGATAAGGAGTACACCGAGTAAAGGGTACATGAGCCATACGACTGAGTCGAGTGTATCAGGTAAGTCGGCCAGAACAGGTCAAGCGAATCCAGGCTGTCCCTTTTTGAAAAAGTATAGTAAGGCGATGGGTCCTGACAGAATGATGATAAAGGACTAGGCTACGTAGAAAAAATATTAAGGAGAATGACTTTATAAAAGGAGGAGAGAGGCTGAATGAGTAGGTATGTGTTAAAAAACTTGTACCTTAAGAAACCAAAAAGTACTAATCTTTCTACAAAGATTAACTTGCTCATCGGAGTGCTAATTTCGATACCACCGGCTGAAGTATTATTTTTGTTTCAGGTGACAACTAGGAAGATCCTACAAGGGATTGTTTGGATTGAAGGAGTATTTGAAAATCACATCCCACAATTGGCGTCGTTTATGAGAATACTCGAACTCGTCCATAGCAAACCCAAACCAAGATCCTTCGGTCACCAGAGTTGATAATGCTATAGAAGAAACAACTCTCGGTCCAGAAGAAACCCCCACAAGGAGGTCTCTAAATTTTGACCAGCTAACCTTATTTCAGCCTTCAACATCCACAGAAGATGCCATGCAAACATTGATGAGTCAAATGCAACGTAGTGAACAATGTCTCGAGGACATGGCAGTAGAGAACAAGCGCCTACGTCAGGAGTTGGCAAAGTCCTAACAACTGCCACCTCTCCACGGGTGTAGTCGGTCGCCAGGTGTGCAGAAAAGGCGACAATGTCAGCCTCGACAGCACGATAGCAGCACTTCAGATTCGTCTCGATCAGGACCCAAGAAACGAACTCGAAGTGATGATATCAATTCAACTAATTGGGAAGATTCTTCACGGCCTCAAAGCACGCGAAATAAAGAATACTCAAATTTAGAAGATAGGCACAACCCCTTTGTTTGTCGAATTGCAAAGGTGATCTTGCCTAAAAAGTTTAAAGCACTGTCATTCACTATGTACTATGGGAAGTCGGACCCCATAGATCACGTTCGTCATTATAAGCATGTAGTGATGCTACATACAGACGACGAGATACTCATGTGCCAAATATTTCCTAGAAGTTTGGGACCGCTCACCGTCAAAATATATTACAAGCTTGAGTCGGCTTCGTTTAGAAGTTTCCATCAACTCCAAAAATCTTTCAGGGCTAGATTTATCACCAATAAGACTCACACTACAAGAAAGAGGGGCATATAACATGGAAACATTTGCGATGGCAGCACTTACCATCGCAAAAAGTGAGTTTTTGCGATGGCACCACTTGTCGTCGCTAATAAATCGGGTTTCAGCGAGACGACACCACTTCCTGTCACAAAAAAGCAAGTTCTTGCGACGGCAACAACTACAGTCGCAAATAATGCGCGTTTTTTGCGACGGCAACCCCCGCTGTCACAAATAAAGCTAGTTTTTGCGACAACATGAATA